AGGGTAGTAGCAGACCTGTCCACCGAAACTTGGCAGGCCAGAAGAGAGTGGCAGGAAACATTCAATGTGCTGAATATGAAAAATACACACCAAAGAATCCTTTATCTAGCAAGTCTGTCATTCAGAATAGAGATAAACATGCCCAAACAAAAGTTAAAGGAGTTCGTGACCACTAAACCAGCCCTGCAAGTAATTCTAAGGTAGACTCTCTGAGTACAAAGCAGCAAAGACTACAAAGGACCAAAGAACATCACAAGAAACATGAAATCTACACATGACACAATGGCACTAAATACATATCTTTCAAAAATCACTCTGAATGTAAATGGGCTAAATGCCCAATCAAAAGACGTTAGGTATCAGAATGGTTAAAAGCCCAAGATCCATCTATATGCTGCCAAGAGACTTTACAAGAGACTAATTTTAGACCTGAGGACACCTGCAGATTGAAAGTGAGGGGATAGAGAACCATCTATTATGCTAATGGAGGTGAAATGAAAGCCAGAGTATCCATACTTATATCAGACAAACTAGATTTTAAAAGAAAGACTGTAACCAGAGATGAAGAAGGGCATTATATAATAATTTAGGGATCTACTAATCAAGAAGATCTAACAATTATAAATATTTATGCCCTCAAGTTGGAAGCACTCAGATATATAAATCAATTAATCACAAACAAAGAAACTCATTGGTAATAATACCATTATTGTAGGAGACTTTAATACCTCACCTTACAGCAATGGACAGATCATATGGTCAGAAAATCAACAAGGAACAACGGCTCTGAAGGACCAGATGGACTTAACAGATATTAAAAAGCAGAATACACAGTCTTCGTGAGTACACATGGAACATTCTCCAAGAGATCACATACTGGATCACAAATCAGCCTTCAACAGACACAAAAAGATCAAGATCATATGCTGTCTATTTTCAGACCACAAAGCCATGAAACTGTAAATCAACCACAAGAAAATATGTGGAAAGCCCTCATATACATGGAGGTTAAAGAACATCCTACTAAAGAATAAATGGAAATTAAAGGAGAAATTAAAAAATACAGAGAAGCAAATGAAAATGAAAACACAACAGTACAAACCTTTTGGCATGTGGCAAAGGCAATCCTAAGAGGAAAGTACATTGTAATTCATGCCTATCTCAAGAAGCAATAAAGGTCTCAAACACACAACCTAAACTTATACCTAAAGGAGCAAGGAAAGGAGCAGCAAATAAAGCCCAAAGCCAACAAAAAGGAAATAATAAAGAACAGAGCAGAAATAAACGAAATAGAATTAAAAAAAAAAAAAACAGTAGGAAACAACAATAAAACTAAGAGCTGGGGGAAAAAACCAACTAAGAGCTGGTTATTTGAAGGAATAAACAAAACTGATAAACCCCTAGCCAGATTTCTCAAAAAGAAAGGAGAGAGGACCATAGATAAAATCATGAATGAAAGAAGGGAGATCACAACCAACACAACAGATAGATATGCAAACAATTATTAGAGAATACTATGAAAAATTATATGCCAACGAACAGGACAATCTGGAAATGAACAAATTCCTAGAAACTCACACACTACAAAAACTCAAAGAGGAAGAAATAGAAATTTTGAACAGGCTCATAACCAGCAATGAAATTGAATTAGTAATAAGAAACCTCCAAATAAATAAGTCTTGGGCCAGATGGCCTCCCAAGGGAATTCCACAGACATTTAAAGATGAGTTAATAATTATTCTCCTCAAACTTTTCCAAAAAATAGAAATGGAAGGGAAGTTTCCAAACTCATTCTATGAAGCCAGCATTACCTTGATTCC